CGTCGCATGCCCCCGCCCTGTGCTCCTGGGCGCTGCGAAAACACGCCAGGCAGCTTCCGTTGTGTGTGCGGCCCCGGCTTCCGAGCTGGCCCGCGGGCTACTGAGTGTCTGGGTGAGAAATCCGCTCCAGCCGGCTCCAGGCTTCACCTCCGCAGGGACCTCGGGCCTGCTGTCCCTCCAGAGCCGTCCCCGCCCTCTCACGCTCCCCCAGCCCCTTCGCCCTACTCCGTCTCCCTAGCCCCGGGCGTTCACCCTTAGGCCCCTCCACTGCCTCCTCCCGGGCCCAGCACGTCCTCCCGGCTCGGGGCCGGTCCCTATTCTGCTACTGCTCAACCTTGTCTGGCGACCAGGTCCAGGCTTCGCCCTCTCTCGCCCCCCCTCCCCCACTCACATCCCAGATTCCAGACCCTTGGCCCCTCCCCTTCCCTGTGCCAGACTGGCTCCCGCCCACCCCCAGGCCCCCTTCTCTCCTGCGACTACCGAAACCTATCTACTGGCCATGACCCCTGATTTCCACCTGCCAAGTCAGTGCCCCGTCCCCAAATCGCCCCTTCCCTCTCTCCTGCCACCCCTTTGCTCGGTCCCCCAAACTTTCCTTCCCTCCCTCGCCCTGCCCAGGCTCTGCTCTCACACATTGCCCCCTACACGGTTCACGTCTCAGCCCTTCCCCTAGTGGGGTCCCCAGACCTTGTCCTGATCTCCCCACTCAAGCCCCGCCCTCGCCTTCAATCTACCCACTCCGAACTCCTTACGCCTCTGCCTCCCGCCCGTCCTGGCTCGGGTTTAAGCTTGGCTCCACCCCTGCCCTCCCCACTTCCCGCGACTGCGGGGAGGGGGTGGTGTCTGCCCCAGTTTCAGCCTCCCGGTTTGTGCCCGCAGACGTGGACGAGTGCCACCGCGTGCCGCCGCCCTGTGACCGTGGGCGCTGTGAAAACACGCCAGGCAGCTTCCTGTGCGTGTGCCCTGCTGGGTACCAGGCTGCACCCCACGGAGCAGGCTGCCAAGGTGAGGGACTGGAAGGGGCAGGGGGGAAGGGCATGTGAGGGGGGCGGAAGGGCAGAGCGGCAGTGATGAGGAAGGAAGACACACAGCAGTGGAGCTGACTGATGGGAGACAGAAGCCAGGTTCCGAGAACCAGACGTGCAGCCTGTGGCTGTAGAGACCGTGACATGGGGACAGAGAGGCCAACTGGTGGGAAACAGAACGACTGAGTCATGGAGGTTGGATATGTCAGTTATGGGGACAGAGTAGAGGGAGGCCCACGCTGGTGGGGACTAGAAAGACAGAGTTCTAGGAACAGACAGGCAGCTTAGAATAGGGATTGAAAAGATACATGGAGGATGAAGAGTTAGAATGATGAGAGATAGGGTGGCTGAAGGATGGAGTCAAGGAGAAAGAGTGATGGAGGATGGAGTGCGGTGTGGTGGAGGGTGGCACATCAAAGCAGTGGCAGTCAGGGAGGCAGAGTGTAGCATGGGGGGCATAACGGAGGTATGACACCGGTCCTTGCCCTCTCAGATGTGGACGAATGCATCCAGAGCCCTGGCCTCTGTGGCCGAGGTGTCTGTGAGAACCTGCCTGGCTCTTTCCGCTGTGTTTGCCCGGCTGGCTTCCGGGGCTCAGCGTGTGAAGAGGATGTGGATGAGTGTGCCCAGGAGCCACCACCCTGTGGGCCAGGCCGCTGTGACAACACCGCGGGCTCCTATCACTGTGCCTGCCCTGCTGGCTTCAGATCCCGAGGGCCAGGGGCCCCCTGCCAAGGTGAGGGTGCTGAGTCCAAGTGCACTCCATCCCCATTTGCTGGGGGACTGGAGAGAGACATGACTGGGGGGGTGTGCAGAGAGACAGGGTTATGGAGCTCAGTGGTGGAAGACGTGGAAGACAGACACAGAAGGGTGGGGGATGGGAGGGTCTGACTACAGAGTCTCCTCCGCTTTCTCCAAATATGAAGCTGTTGTCCATTTTACATCCCTTTTTGTTTTTATTTTTTGTGGCGGGGGGGGGGGGGGGGTGGGAAATTTTCTTTTTTTTTAAAATACCTTTTTTTTTTGGGTT